AAACAGACAAGCGTCTGCCACACAACACCCCAGACTTAACCATTTTCGATAAGAAAGGCAAAAAAGTCTGGATGGTGGACATTGCAATAGCTGGAGACAGCAGAAGAGAAGAGGAAGACCTGGAGAAAATCACAAAATACAGTCCTGCAAATAGAAGTAGAATGTTATAGGCACCTTATGTGCAATCCCAAAACATCTGGAGCACCAGCTGAAGACCATCGGCGTTGACAAAGTCACCATCAGTCCATTGCAAAAGGCAGCTTTGCTTGGAATAGCTTTTATCCTGAGATGGTGTCTTTAACACCCTCAAACAACATCTACCTATCCCAGGTCCTTGGGAAGGACTCAACAGGTGGATAAAAATGCCAAATCCAGTCTAAACTTCTGGCTGACTATGCGACCAACAATAATAATTTTGCAACTGAAGCTGCAGCTGCTTAAATGAATTAAGAAACACCACATGATGGTTTCTGGCACACAAGGTTCTTCCCCAAACCATAAACCTGGAGAAGGGCAACTGTGGGGAGTGTCTGTGTGTGTCAGAAATGTCAAGATGGCAGTCATGACTATACACACATGGAAAAGGGGAACAGGGCTTTGATCATATAGTCATGCTGCCATCTTGACTTTTTTTACTCCTTTGTGGATACCCCTGCTTTCCTCCACATACCTGGTTTAGGGATTCTTGGTTTTTGTTTTAATAATTTTTATTGAAAATGTTTTAAAAAACAGTAAATAAAAGACAATATAAACTAAACTCAGAAAGGAAAAGAAAAATAAGAGAGAATAGAAAGTGTAAGAGAAAAGGAAAAAAAAGGAAAGAAAAAATAAGAGAAAAGAAATATTTAAAGTGACTTCCGATCTTTATCACAAGTATGAACAAACTTAGTAATTCTTCACCCCCTGCTAGGTGACATGCAAGTATCTCTTCTTCCCATAACCCATCCCTTATCCATATGCAAATCCATAAATCATTAACATTGCAGCCCTGGTATCAGCAAAAAGCCCATAAAGGGTTCCCAGAATTTTATAGAAACACGTCTTATTCTAATCTTGGTCAGACAAACCAACTTCATACCCCTTCCTTTTGCTTCTAGCAATCCTGATCTTTAATTCATTCAGATGTTG